ATCGCTCGGACGTCCATTCCCTGTGTTCTGTTCGGTTTCGTGCGCGGTGTTTTCGCCAAAGGATCAAGGACGCTCCTCGATGGTCCTCGCCGAAGGAAAAATGCACGCGTCCGAGCGATGCCGGGCCCTATTCCCGCAGGTCTGGAGCGCGGGGAACAAAGTCGGAGACGCCCCGTAGTTCGTATGCGCTGACACCCAGTGCGACGCAGGGGGCCCCGCCCTCCCGTCGCGACTTCTCGCCCTCGGGCGGACAGACGTCGCAAGTGGAGACCCGGGCAAACCAACTTGTGCGTGCAGACGCAGTCTAGACTAGGACCGTAAATCCCACGGGTGACTGCGTCTCCGCCAACAGTAGGTAACTCGTCACTAACTTCCCTCCGCGATTTTCCCCCCAAGCAGCATCTCGGCCCCCTGGCGTCGCTTTGACATCGACGTGGCTAGACGCCCGACGAAGAGGATGAAGAATGTTGCGGAATACTCGCTCGCGTGTCCGCGCATTGACTGGGATGGGCCATCGAGGCCTCGGGGGCCGCGCCGGATGCGCCTGGCGCGCTCGGGCGGGCGAGGCCGACGCGAGCAGCGACGCGGGCGACTCGTTTGACCTCGCCCACCGGGCGGCCCACGCCTGGCGCGCCGAGCTCCGCCGAGAGGCCCACCGCCGGATCAAGACGAACCGCATGAAGAACCGACCAAAGTGAAGGGGCCCGGGGGCGCGCAGATAAATGCACGCCCCCCCCCTGGATTCCCCATATGTTCCACTACTTTTTCTGGGTGTTCGTCTCCGCCCGCAGTTCCCATATTTTCCCAAATTTTGTAGAATCTTTTCCAATATGTTCTGGGAGGTCGACGATTCATCGTGTCTGTGTGTTTCTTTCCCTTCTGACAAACGTGGTCGAACGCCGCGCGCGCCGCCCGCTCGTTCGCCCCCCGGGAACGGCGCGGCGAACCGCGCCGACGTCGCTCTCGGCGAGCTGCGGCGCCAACTCAGGGCGGTTTACTGCAACTCGGGGCAGCGCCATGTGGCGCGGCGCCAGCCGTGCTACATTGCACCGCTCACGGGGCCAGCTACATCCACGGCGCACATTTGGCGGCGCGCGCAAGGGGGTGGAGGGGAGGGGCGAGGGCTCCTTCGTGGGAGGCCGCTCCTTAGAAGGCGCTGGCCTGGCATCTACAGATGAGGCCCGCGCCTTCTAAGAAGCAGGGGTGCTTCTAAGAAGCCCCCCCCCACCCCCTCCCCGTGCGTGGCTGACGCGCGGCGCCGGCCGCCCCCGACCGGTGGGGGCGCATGATGCGCGCGCGGATGGCGGCTAACGTCCGTGACCAATGGAAGTGGCCCGCTTGCCGTCGCAGAGTTCCCGCGCCAGGGGCCCGGGCGAGCCCCCCCGCCGCCCTGGTGCTTCGGGGAGGCGCGACTGAGCAGGTGTAGCCAACGGGCCCACGCCAATCGCATCAAGGCCTGGTAAAGCCCGGAGGGAAGCTGACTGCCGAGGTGGGGCGAACTGCTGGCGGGCCAAAGCGGCAGGCAGCTCCAGTGCGGTCTACCCGCGCAAACGCGCAGCGGGCCCCCTCGCGCGCCGCCAGGCGCGTGGGCGGCGGGAAGTCAGCACGAAAGAGCGGCCCCCCCCGCGCCCGCCTGACGGTCAGCCACTACTCACAATCGCAAAGCGGCGAAGCATCCACCCCGCCCCCCCCTGGCGCGGCCGCGGACGGCGGGGGCGAGCACGGCTCCGAAGAACCCCCCCCTCCCCCGCCCAACCGCTGAATCCTTGCTGACGCGAGCCACGCTTAAGGTCGCGGCGGACACTTGGGAACCGATGCTGGGGCTGTTCGGGCAGACAGGGGCCCGCCATGGCGAGGCTGTTCCCACCTGGAAGGCGATCGAGGCGGAGTGCCACCGGGAACCTCCCGCACCCGCCCCCGCTGCGCCCTTCGCCCTGACCGGCGAATCGCTCGCCCATTTCATCCGCGACCGACCCGCCGCTAGGCGGGCGGCCTGCGCGGACGGGTCGCCAAAGCAGCCAAGACGTCGTCCGACGGAATGCTTCGCCCCTCTGCCACAGCCCTGAGAGCCGTGCGCCGCGCGGGAACAGTGCCTGCAGGCCACTCCCCCACATTCTACAACCCTGGCCTTCGGAAAGGGAAAAGGAACTGCCCGCTGACCGACGCTCGCTCTCAATCGCGTCCGCGTGGGCGCACGCGTGGGAAGCGCCGGCATTCCGCGGCTTGGCGCGGGTCCAACCGGAGAGTACTGGCGCGGCAACTCGCGCCGCCGCCGGAAGCGCCATCGCCGCGCTGGCATTGCGGGTCGAACGCGCCCGACGCCTCCAGGTGCCTCTGGCCGGAGCTGCGCTCGACAAAAAGAAATGTTTCGACTGCCTTGTCGCGGGCGCGCGTCTCAAGTCGGCGCTGCGCGTGAGGCGCCCGCTGGACGTCGCCCCAATCAGAATGCGCTTCCACGATAACCACCGCGGGGGCATTCGCATCGGAGGGGCGTATTCTAAGCCCCTGGCACGCACCAGCGGCTACGCCCAAGGTAGCTCCTTCTCCCTCGACCATCAGGCCCCACTTGCGCCTGGGTCAATAGAGAACATCGCTGTGCGCCGCGATCCCTCGGCGATAGAGGCTCCACTGCGCCCGCTGCCAGGGGGCGCTGGGCACTGGGCTTCGCTGTGCGAGACTGTCCACTTCGACCACCTCCCGGGCCCCCCGAGAAAACTCCGGTGGAAGTTCGGGCCGGACCGTCGGCGAAGAGCTCCATCGCGGGGTGGCGGCTCTATACTCAACGGGCGCCCGCTGCAAGGTCTGCGCCGGGCGCGGCTCGTGGGGGGCTGCGCCGGCGCGCCGCCTGAAGCGGATGATGCAGGCCTGAATCTGGCGGCCGCCGCTGGTGCTGGGAAATTCGGCGTGCTGCTGCCAGACTCCCGCGCATTGGGCGTCTCCCCGAAGGTGCCCGCGCTCGCGACCGCCCTGTCAGGCCCCATAGCGTTATGTCGGGCCTGTCCCCCATACAAGGGGTTTTCGACGAAAAAAAATTAAAAATGAAAATGCACCAAAAAGGCAAAACAAAATATTAAAAAAAAAAAAGTCCCCAGGCTATTGTTTGATTATTTTTGTTACTATTTTTGAATATTTTTATTTTTCGTCGAAAATCCCCCTGTAGGGGGACAGGCCCGACATAACCATAGCGCGCGCCGCAGGTGCCGACATGCAGGCCCCCGGCGCGAGAGTGCGGAACCGCTGCGCCACCTCGGCGCGCGCCGCCGCTCGCCGATGGGGCGGCGCTGGAGGTTGCAGCGGGCTCTCTGCGTTCTCGATCGGGGATGGACAGACCCCCCTTTAGTAAAACGTGGTTTAGTGAAAACGACCTGAGGCCCAAACCTGGCGGGCGCAAGCCTGGAAAATAACGGCCACGGCGCCATCTCGAGAACCGAAAACGGACAATTCACTAATCGACGTGTCACTGTTGGGGGTTCTGTCCACCCCCGACTCGATGTCCCCGGGCGCGCTCTCTTGCCGGGTGCCATCGCGCGCGGGGGCTGCGGAGGCAGGGGCGGGGGGGCGCCGATCTCGGCGCGAAAGCTGAACAGGGAAACAAAACATGGCATAAACATAAAAACTCGGAGGTCCGCGCGGATTTCTCGGATCGGCGCTGGACCCCCCTCCCTGGCGCGCGGAGCGCGCCAGGGGCGGCGCCGGAGGCGCCGCCGGGGGGGCCCCAGCGCCGATCCGAGAAATCCACGCGGACCTTCGAGTTTTTATGTTTATGTCACTTTGTGTTCCTCTACTGAAGGCCTGCGCGGCCGCGCGCAAGCATTCCAAGGGGTCGGCCCCGTTGGCAGAGTCCGGCGAACCATTGCCCATCTGGCGTGGAGTTGGCCATCCTCCGGCGCGATGCATGGCGACTGGGGCGCCAGCCCTTCACGCTTGCACCTTGCGGTCAGCCTCTTCGCTCGCGTGCCCTGCGCTTCGCGAGGAAGATCCCCCTTCCACCGCGCCCCCGCCGCTGCGCGCGACCTGGGCGCGGTCGCCGCGGTCAATGCCCCCGCAACTTTGCCAACGCCTGGCTCCGAATACAACCAAAAACCCTAATAAGGACGCGCGGTAAGGACGCAAGACCCTTGGAAGCCGAAGTTGGGATTTCTGGGGCGGTGGACGGCGAAAACCCCAGGGACGCAAGGGTACCCTGAGCAAAGTCGCGCGTCCTTATTAAGGTTTTTGACTGTAACTTGCGGTGGGGCATCTCGGCCGGCGAGGGGGCCGGGTGGGTCTTCGCGGCCACTGGCGGAGCCTGCGCGCGCCGGGCCAGGCCCGCTCCGTGCTGGCCTGCCCGCTGGCTGAACCGCTCAGCTCGGGTGGTGGCGTGGCCCAGTCCGCGCGCCGCGCTGAGACCCTCGCCCTCCGCCATCTGGTGGCAATTGCTTACTGGCTTGTTCACGTGTGGATTGACAACCAAGCCGCCATCGACGCACTCGAGGCCCTCCTCGCCAAAAACCGTGAGAGTTCATGCCGATCTCCGGTAGAGCGTACGTCGCGCACGGAAAGCCAAGTGGCCCACAAAGTCAGAAGCCAGCAAGGCGTTAATGAAGGTCGAATCGCACAGATCGCGCCTGTTGCTCGGGTGTGCTGACGGGGCGTGTCACGCCCTGATTTTTTTCAATCGGGGGCCCCTTAGTCCGCTCCAAGGGGGGAGGGTACTTTTCCCCACCCGTGTGCCATTGTGAGGCTGGCCCGGGCGGCATTTGCAACCCGCCGGGCCAGGCAGACAGACTTGTCCGAACTGTTGCGCCCTCCTTCTCCTCGTCTTCCTCCTCCTCATCCTCCTTCCCCTCCTCTTCCTCCTCCTCCTCCTCCTCCGCCTTCACTTCCTCCTTCCTCTCCACCTCCTTCTCCTTCTCCTCCTCCTCCTCCTCTTCCTCCTTCTCCCCCTCCTCCGTCACCCCTTAATTACCCCTCCCGCCCATCCCCTCGTTGTCATCGGCGTCGGCTCCCCCGCGGCGCTCCTCCTCCCGCTCCTGCGCTCGCCTCTTCGCCTCCTCCGCGCGCTGGCGCCGCGCCTCTGTGTCCTCTTGGCGGGGCGGCGGGGGATGAAAAGACGCCGCAGCGCAACACGATGCTGCGCCGAGGAGGACAGAAGGAGGAGGAGGGAGGAGGAGGAGGAGGAGGAGGAGGAGGAGGAGGAGGAGGAGGAGGAGGGGGAGGAGGAGTTGGAGGAGGCAGAGGAGGCAGAGGAGGCAGAGGAGCAGAGGAGGAGGAGAGGAGGAGGAGGAGGAGGAGGAGGAGGAGGAGGAGGAGGAGGAGGAGGAGGAGGAGGAGGAGTTGGAGGAGGCAGAGGAGGACGAGGCGGAGGAGCCATTGCCCGACTCGGGGGCGTGGAACCCCCCTGCCGTGCCAGGGTGCCCACTCCAGGCGCAATGGGCCGCCGTACCAGCGCCCCAGCCGCCACGATTGAAGGGGCCCACAAACACCAAATAAATTCACACAAATAAAAAGATTCCCCAAATTTTCCTATATTTTCTGGGTTTCTGTCTTCCCCCCCACTTCCAATATTTTCCCATATTTTCCGGGGGATCGACGATTAATTGTGTCTGTGTGTTTCTGCCCCTCCTGAACCATAGATAAACAGGAGTCTCCAGGCCCTCGTAGGCCCAGGCTCACTGCTACCACCCGCCGCAGGGGCTTCGCGGCTAGGTCACGACGCCCAGCCTCAGCCGCCGATGTCGCCATCATGGCCAACTCGCTGCACCACCACAGCAGCGAAAACAACAGCAAGATTCTGGCCCGCATTTAATGCATCATCGTGCAGGTGCCTGGTCGTCATCCTGAGCGCGCCATTCAGAAGCCACGCGCCCACAGTGAGAACGACAACTGCAGCCCGTGCCTCCTGCTGCCCTTCCTCCCTGTGGTGCCTCCTGCCGCCCTTCCTCCCTGTATACCCCTCGGCGGCCAGCGTATAAAGGCGACCGTGGAGGAATCCTTCGAGGGAACCGTCGATCGCACCGCTGCCATCGCAGAGGATATGCACCTGGGCGCCTCCGGCGCCCACAGCGACTGCAGCGCCCACGCCGCGGCTGCGACCGCTGTGACGCTACGCCGGCGGCGCCCGCACGGGCGAGAGCTCATAAGGAGGCGCAGCGGCTGCAGCCGCCGAGCACACGCCTGCGGGGCCACTGCCGGCGAGAGCTCCTGTACCAGAAAAACAAGAACGGCGTGAACACAAACTTTTGGTGCTCCGCGCGGGTTTCTTGGATCTGCGCTGGACACCCCTCCCTGGCGCGCGGAGCACGCCAGGGGCGGCGCCGGAGGCGCCTCCAGGGGGGCCCAGCGCAGATCCAAGAAACCCGCGCAGAGCGGCAAAACGTTGATCTTCACGCCGTCTTCTCTTCTCCGATCTTCGGGAGCCGCGGCCTCTGGATGACACGGACCTGCCGCTGGCCAAGGGCACCAGTCGGCTACACGCAAGAGTGACCCTGGGCTGGGGCAGTGCCAAGGGTGGTCACCACTAGGGGGGTCGCCACTTCCTCGAGGAGAGAAAACGCCACCTCCTCGAGGAAACGCCACCTCCTCGGGACTTCCTCGAGGAACTGGGCCCCCCCCCCAGAGCCCCGAAAACGCCAAGAAGCGTCCAAGAACATCCTCGACCCCTCGACTCTCCATCCTGGAACCTCGATTTCCAGGAGAAGCTGGCGACCCCCCCAGTGGTGACCCCCCTTGGCACTGCCTGATGGGCAAGCGTGACCTCTGGAGGAGGAGGGAGGAGGAGGAGGAGAGGAGGAGGAGGAGGAGGAGGAGGAGGAGGAGGAGGAGGAGGAGAGGAGGAGGAGGAGAGGGAGGAGGAGCAGGAGCAGGAGCAGGAGCAGGAGCAGGAGCAGGAGGAGGAGAGGGAGGAGGCGGAGGAGGAGGAGGAGGAGGAGGAGGAGGAGGAGGGGAGGAGGAGGAGGAGGGGGAGGAGGAGGCGGAGGAGGCGGAGGAGGCGGAGAGGCGGAGGAGGAGGAAGAGGAGGAGGAGGACCATCCAGGGAACGATCGCGCCCTACGCGGCCCTCCGCGACGGGACTGCCCCCGTGGGGCGCCGGGCCGCCCCGCGCGCGGAAGCGGCGCGCGCGGCGCGGCGCGGCGCGGCGCGGCGCGGCCGGGCCCGGTTGCGCCGCCCTCCCGCGGAGCGCGCGCCCGCCGCGGGCGGCCGCGGCCAGCGGCCGCCCAAGCAGCGCTCCAGGCGGGGGGGCGCCGCGGCGCGCGCTGGCGCTCCAGGGGGGGCCCGCCGTGCCTCGGGCGGCGCTCGAAGGAGGGGCCCTGGGGCACACAAAAATAAATAGACACAAATCACAGGATTCCACATATGTTTTCCGATATCTTTTCTGGGTGTTTGTCTTCCTCCCCACTTCCCATGTTTTCCCATCTTTTCGGGGGAATCGACGATTCATTCTGTCTGTGTGTTTCTTTCCCTCCTGACTTGAAGCAGAGGTTCGGATCGGCCTCGGGACGGGCCCTTGACAAGCAGGTCGTCCTGCCGGGGTCGGCAGCATCACGCGGTTGCTGCATGGCGAGCTCGGTGGCGCGCGGAGCGCACGTGAGCGCTTGTGCCTGGCGCGCATGCGGGTGCTTCTTGCTTGCGGCTTGCGTGCGTTGTCTCTCGGTGCGCCTGTGTGTGTGTGTGTTATGCGCCTCAGCACGCCCGCTGCCGACTCTCACCTTCTTCCCCCGTGGTGCCTTCCACGACCTCGCGGTTCCTCCCTGCCTCCGGTTGGCCCCCACGTGTCACCCTCTCGCGGCTACCTCTTCGCGAATCCTGCTGCGCGGCCCCCTGTGGGTGGACCTGGTGTGCCCCTGCTGCCTCTGGGCTGGCCTGCGCCCGTTCTTCTTCTTCGCCTTTAGCCCGACTCTGCTACGCTTAGGTCGGGCGTGTTCCCCTACAGGGGGATAAGGGCGAAAAATTAAAATAGTCGAAACAGTTCTCCAAAATGGAATAGTCAGAAAATCGTCCCCAGACTATTCTTTTACTATTTTGGAATACTCCTCCTGTAGAGGGACGTGCCCGACTTAATGCTACGCTTCTGCGCGCGTGGCCGCGACGTCGAAAAGTGCTTGTCCTCGGCGGCGTGTGCATGCGTGTTCGCTGCTCGCACGTTTGCGCGCGCACGTGCCGTTGCGCACGCGTGCGCGCGGTTGCCTACGTGCGCGCAAGGGCCTCAGGCGGGCGTCGTCTTCCCTGAGCAGAGACGAGGCGACACAGCGGGGACGGGTTCACGGGCAAGGCCGTGAAACTGTCGCCGAACTGCGCGACCAGCCCACCCATAGGCAAGGCACCTGCAAGAACACTCGCTCCACTGCCAGACGCCTTATCTGGGGCCACCAATTGGAGAAGTGTACTCTGTCCGCCTCTGCTCTGAGCGGGCCCAACCGTCCTACTCAGGGCGGGGAGAAGAGAGGAGGAGGAGGAGGAGGAGGAGGAGGAGGAGGAGGAGGAGGAGGAGGAGGAGGAGGAGGAGGAGGAGGAGGAGAAGGAGGAGGAAGAGCACGAGGAGGATGAGGAGGAGCAAGAAGAGGATCAATAGAAGAAGGAGGAGGAAAAGGAAGGAGGGAATCTTTCCGAGGTGCTTGTGTGCCGTAAATTTCCCTTTCTAGCTCGTGGGACCTCGGGGGAGCTGTAACATGCATGCACCGCGGAACCGAAAAACTCACCCCCGGGGCCATGCCAGCATGGAGATACGTACTTATCAAGGCGAGGAGAGGTTCCTGGCATTCCTCTCCATCTTCTGCTGTCGGGAATGATTGACCTATGAGGCGGGTAGGAGGAGGAGGAGGAGGAGGAGGAGGAGGAGGAAGAGGAGGTGGAGAACTTCTCCGGGAGAAGGAGGAGGATGATGAGGAGGAGGAAGAGCACGAGGAGGATGAGGAGGAGCAAGAAGAGGATCAATAGAAGAAGGAGGAAAAGGAGGGAGGGAATCTTTCCAAGGTGCTTGTGTGCCGTAAAGTTCCCTTTCTAGCTCGTGGGACCGCGGGGGAGCTGTAACATGCATGCACCGCGGAACCGCAAAGCTCACCCCCGGGGCCATGCCAGCATGGAGATACGTACTTATCAAGGCGAGGAGAGGCTCCTGGCATTCCTCTCCATCTTCTGCTGACGGGAGTGATTGACCTATGAGGCGGGGAGGAGGAGGAGGAGGAGGAGGAGGAGGAGGAGGAGGAGGAGGAGGAGGAGGAGAAGGATGAAGAGGAAGGCCCCCTCCTCCAATATTCCTCCTCTTTCCTCATCATCCTTCTCCTGTGCTCCTTCCTCCTCCCTCCTCTTCCTCCTGCGCATCCTCCTCCCTGCGCTCTTTCATCCTCCTCCTCCTCCTCTCTCCCTCTTGTTCTCCTCCTCCCCCTCCTTCTCTTGATCCCCCTCCCTCCTCATCCTCCTCGGCCCCTCCCCCCTCCTCTCTCCTCCCTCCTCTTTCCTCCCTCCTCTTCCCACTGCCTCTCCGCTTCCTCTTCTGCCTCCTCTTCCTCCTCCATCCTCCTCATCCGCCCTTCTCGCTCCTCTTCCTCCCTCCTCCCTCTTTCATGCTCTTCCTCTTTATCCCTTCTCCCTCCTCCTTCCTCCCTTCTATTCCCATGTCTGTTTTTCCTCCTCCTACTCCTCCTCCCTCCTCTGTCTCTCTCGTCTTCATTCCTCCTACCTCGTCCTCCTCCCTGCTCCCTTCTCCCTCCTCCCTCCCCCCCCTGTTCCCCAGCGCGCGCGAGCCGACGTCCTGGTAGTACAGCCTCACCCAGGCGTGCCGGTCGGCGCCCAAGCTGTTGGCGCTGTTCCCTGACGACGGGGCAACGCGGGAAACCACGACAAGCCTTCCGTCTGCCTCTGCCCCCTCTCTCCTCCTCGGCCCCCTCTCCTCCTCCTCCTCCTCCTCCTCCTCCTCCTCCTCCTCCTCCTCCTCCTCCTCCGTCTGCCTCCTCCTGCTCCTGCACCTCGCTCCTCCTCCCTGGGCGGGAGATATTTTCCGTCACCTCCTCCAGCCGGTCTTCCTCATCGATGGCTCGCACCAGTCGCACCACCAGACGTGCTGTTGGGGCGGACCAGGCGCTCCGCTGGATGTTTCTGCACGGCTTCTGCTCTGGACGCAGCTTCCCAGCAAGTACACGGATGGAGAGCAGGCCCTTCAAATTGTGGCTCTCGCCATTGTCCCGCGCGCCTTCTCACAAGCTTCCAACAGTGACACGCGCGGAGGGCGGTTCCTCTCCAAAAGGCGGCTCCCGCCTCAGCGCCGCACACGCTTGTTTCTGACAAGCGTCTCTCAGCTACTCAGACAGGGCGGTCCATGTTCAAGATGTTATTCTTGCCTGAGCGCCGCGCACATTCGTCTGAAACATGTCGAACGACTGCATGGGCGAAAAGCTGTTCCTTTTCAAGATGTGGCTCTCGCTTCGGTGCCGCGCGTCTTCACGTGACGCTTCCGACGTTTGCACCGGTCGGGGGCGAGTACTTTTCAAAATGCAGCTGTCGCCTGAGCACCACGTACATGCGGCTGAAGGTTCCATCAGTTCCACTATGACCCGTGCCTGGGCCCTCCGCACATTTGTACACGGATGGGGGACGGCTCCTTTTCAAAATGAACCAAGCGCGACCCCAATAAGTTAGGGGTCTGCCTGCTTTCAAATCGATCCAAAGCAGTTCTGAGCAATGCAAAACAGTGCACTGTTGGCATTGCTTTGCAAAGCTTGGCATTGCTTGGATCGTTGCTTCGCACTGTTTTCATTCATTGACGTGCGCCTTGCATTGCTTGGCGTTGCTTTGCATTGCCTGGCGTGGCCTGGCGTTGCTTGACGGTGCCTGGTATTTTATGGCTTGGCATTGCCTGGCGTTGCTTGGCATTGCTTAGCATTCTTTGGACTAGTTGCTTTGCATGGCTTTGCATTGCTTGACGTTGCTTGACATATTGCTCCGCATGGCGCAAGCAAGGCAACCCAAGCAACCGGGCCATTAACCGTGGCCATATCCGAGGAACGCCAGGCAAGCCAAGCAATACAGGGCAACCCGAAGAACGCCGAGGGCCACCTCTCGCTAGGCACGGCCACCGACCGGCTACAGTCGGCCCGTATCATCAGGATCCGCGATAAGGATGCAAGGGCCTTGGAAAGCCATGCCGACACTTCGCCAGCGCGAGCGGGGCGCGGCCAGCGAAAGTGGCCAAGGATGGGCCGAATGGGCAAGGATGCAAGGGTAGCCTTGGGAAGGTGGCCCATGCTTACCATGCGGGTTGATTGTACCCCACACGCACGGATCAAGTCCCTTCAGTTACGCCATATTTCTAAGAAAGGTGGGAGACTCTGGGGACAATGTTCAGCCTCCGGGAGGCCTTCCTGGACCCAGGGGCCTTCAAACAACGGCTCGTGATGGGGAAGGGGTCGAGACCTCTGGGGGCCCACGTTGCGAAAAGGTCAACAAAACGTCGGGGATCTGGGTCGGGCTTTCGAGCCCCAACGGATCGATCCAGCTCGGGAAATCCCCCACATCAAGCAGATAGGGGGTCGACCGTGCGCGGACCACCCCCGTTGCCCATGGACCGCCTGACCCAGGCATGCCTCCAATGTCTTTAGGGGGAAAACAAACCAACCTCGCTTTTGACCACCCTCGCTTCCAAGAGATACCAAACGATGCCAAACTACGGCTTGTACTGGTCAGGCCGCTTGACGAGGAGGCGCGTGGTATGACTTGGTTTTGCCTGGAAGCGAAAGCGGGGTAGGTAATTCACGCTCTGAGTCTTGGCGAAACCAATGCGGATTGTTCACGGCTTCTCTCGCTCAGGGAGCCATGTCTGAGCCTTGCAAGAACAAAACGAACAAAACAACTATCTGGGACGAAAGACCGTCCCCAGGAAGGATCGGGACTTCTGGCGGCCTGCACCGAAAACAAAACGACGTCGGAGATCTGGGGCCCAAGCTGCTGTCACGCCGTCGGGTTTGTCCACGGGGCCAAGAAGCTGGGAGCACACATGCCTGGGATGTGCAGACCAGGCGGAGGCCGCTGGCCACAGACATGCGCGGAGGATGTGAAGGCCGAGCGCCGGAACGACAGGCGGACACACGTGCATCCAGCCCTCGCCCAGGTGAGCCGCGGCACGTGCCTCCCACTTCCTGGCAGACCTCTGGACCCCTCCCCCGCCGCACCGCTGACGTCTGGGGCGGCCGCGACCGCGGCCGACGCGGGCGGCGACGTCTCCGGCCTGCCCTCCGCCGCGGCCGCCCGCTCGAGCGGCCTGCGCGCGGCCTGGCCCTGCCCGGCCGCGGCGGCCTGGGGGCCCTGGGCGCCGCGAGCGCCCTCCGGCGCCGGCGCCGCGGCGCCCCAGCGGGCCGCGGGCAGGTCGTGGCGCGGGCGGCCCGCCGCCGCCTCCCACCCGGGCCGCTGCCCCAGCGACGGCGAGGAGGAGGTGCGCGCGATGGCGCGCTGCTGCGGGGCGTGCCGCGCGGGGTCCGGGGTGCGGAGGCCCGCGCCGCCGGGCGCGGCCGCGCCCTCCCGGGGCGGCGCCTGCGCGGGGGACGCCCTGGCGGCCGGGCCCCTGCCCCCGGCCCTGCCAGGAGAGGCCCTCGGGTCCGCTGCCGGAGCGGCCCCGCTGCTGGAGGCCCTCGTGGCGGCGCCCCGCTTCGGCGGCTGCGCGTCGCGCGGCCGCGTGCCGGCCGCCCCGTTGGGCACCCGCGCCTTCTCGGCCGTCGCGGGGCGGGCCGCGGGGCTGAAGCCGGCGGCGCCGTCCTCGGGCCCCGAGCACGCCGCTGCGCTCCCGGCGCCGTTTGTGCCCGCGCGGTGGGAGAACGGAGACGGCGGGGCCACGTCGGCCGCGGCTGGGGGGACGCTCGGCTCCGGCGGCCGCACCTCGATGGTGGGCGGTGCGCCCTGGAGGCTCGCCGCCGACGTGGCGAGGAAGCTTCCGAGCTCCGCGTCGCTCGAGAGGAGCACCGGCTGCTCGGAATGCGCCACCTCGCCCAGGAACGACAGCGGCACCCTGCTGGGGTCGTCCCGCACGCCCTGCAGCTCCTCCCTCGTCAGCCCGCCGATCTCCTCCAGGACGGCGCACGCGAGGCCGGCCAGCGACCGCGGCGCCACGGCGAGGTGGAAGGGCTCTGGCGAGCTGAAGCCGGGGAGGTTCAGGCGCACCAGCAGCGGGGCCATTGCCTGCGCTCGCGGCGGGGCGCCTCGGCAGACCTAGCGGCCTGGGCGCCGGGACATCCCAAGTGCGGCGCGATCGGAATCGCTTGGGCTGCGACGGCAACGGCGATCGGAAGCGAGGGCGGAATGGCCCGAGGATCGGAGCAGCGTCGTGCTGGTGGCGACGGTGGTGGTGGTGGCGGCACCCACCGCCGCGGCCTCAGTCCTGAAGCGCTCGGTGGTGGCTGTGGGGTACCTCGCGGAGGAAGCTGTCGAGGAACGGGGCGAGGGTGCTCTGCCGCCGACTCCAGCGGCGATTCAGCCCCGGCAGACGGGCGGAAACGTCTGAACGCCTCGATCCCCGACGTCGTGGTGTCGGGACGTCGCGAACAGTCAGGACTGCAACCCCCGACCACACCCTTGTGCGGGAAGCCTCGGGTCCGAGCGATCCGGGAGGGGCCCCGAGGCCCGCAGCGGGACGAGAAGGCCAGTCGAGATCTCCCCGCGACGCCGAGGATGTCCAGGCCTGCAGAATTTGTGGTCCCGCGCCGCGCAGAGCGCGGTCCCCCCTGCGCTCTCGTGCCGCTCACTGGAGACGGGGACCCCCTGGCCCAGACCACGAAGCGCGAACCGCAATCTTCTTCAAGCCCCTGCGGGTGACACGTTGTAGGGTGTCCTGGCGGCGGAGGGGGGGGCTCTCATAGATGGGGCCGGAATCCTCCAAACACAAGACCCCCCCAGACGGCCCCGACGCCCCCTGCCATCTGGGAGCGCCGGGACCTCGCCATGCCCCTCTCTTTGTCCCTCGGTCATGCCTCAGAGGTCGCGTGGTGAAGACTCCGCCACTCGCCGCGATGGAGTAACGAGTGCGATGCCTGATGAAAAAAGGCTCCCGCCATGCGAAGGCCTGGGGAAACCGCATCCCCGCTCAGCCACAGGCACACACGCACACCCGCGCCCTATCCTCCCGCGCACACGCACACACACACACACACACGCACGCGCACACGCACGCGCACACGCACACGCACACGCACACACGCACACGCACACGCACACGCACGCACGAACGCACAAACGCACGAACGCACGCGCACGCACGCACGCAAACACACGCACGCACGCAAGCATGCACGCGCACACACGCACGCAAACACACACACACACGCACGCACGCAAGCATGCACACGCACACGCACACGCCTACCCACAACCACACACACAAACAACAACACAAACACAAACACAAACACACACGCAGCAATCAACGCAAACACAAACGCAGACGCACACGCACACACGCACACGTACACGCACACGCAAACGCACACGCAAACGCAAACACGAACGCACACGCACACGCACATGCACACGCAAGCGCAAACGCGAACGCAAACAGAAACACACATACAACCACACACAGACACAAACACAGACACACACAGAGACACACACCCAAACACACACAAACACAAACATAAACACAAACGCAAACACAACCATACACAAAAACAACTACAAACAGACACACACACACACAAACACAATCGCAAACACAAACACATGCCCACACAAACACAAGCACAAACACAAACACAAACGCACACGCAAACGCACACGCAAACGCACACGCAAACGCAAACGCACATGCAAACGCAAATGCAAACGCAAACGCAGTCGCACACGCAAACGCGAACAGAAACACAAGCACACACAAGCACAAGCACAAGCACACGCACAAACACAAACACGATCACAAACACAAGCAACAACACACGCACACACACGCACACACACACACTACTCACACTCACACTCCTTCTCCTCCTCCTCCTCCTCCTCCTCCTCCTCCTCCTCCTCCTGCCACTGTATGACCGAAGGTAACGGAATTTTGCACAGGCTGCCGCAACGACACCACGCGGTGGCGTACGCAGGCCATATAAACGGCACACAACCAGGAGAAGAATGCGCTCACGCGGGACCTAGCGTGGGCAACTTTGCGCGAATACCCGCGCTGCTGAGCCCCTTGTAGCTACGCGTTCCAAAATAATGTTTCACTAGATCTGTGGTCGGAAGTTGAGGGGTGAGATCGCAGGGGAACGGAGACCCCCAACCGGGAAATCGTTTCGTTTCGTTCGTGCCGTGCGGGCGAGGCGAAGCTGCGTGGGCGCGCGAGGGGAATGAACCCGCCGTTGCTAGGGCGAAGTCAAGACAAATGATTCTCCTCCGTCCGTCCGTCCGGCGGTGGCCCTCGCGGTGTCCCGCGGTGTCCCGTGGTGTCCGCCGTTGCTAGGGCGAAGGCAAGACAAATGATTTTCCTCCGTCCGTCCGTCCGGCAATTGCCCTCACGGTGTCCCGCGGTGTCCCGTGGTGTCCGCCGTTGCTAAAGCGAAATCAAAACAAATGATTCTCCCCCGCCCGCCCGTCCGTCCGTCCGTCCGGCGGTGGCTCGCGGTGTCCCGCGGTGTCGCGTGGTGTCCTGTGGTGTCCCGTGGTGTCCCGTTGAGTGAGATCGATACTGAGATTGATGTGGTGCCCCAAGGTGAGGTGTCCCGTGGTGTCCCCAAAAGTGAAATCGATAGTGAGATCGACATGTGTCTTGCGGTGTCCCGTGGTGTCCCGTTGAAAGAGATCGATCGTGGGATCGATAATGAAATCGATGTGGTGCCCCGAGGTGTCCCGTGGTGTCCCAAAACGTGAGATCGATAGTGAGATCGATAATGAGATCGACAAGTGTCCCGTGGTGTCCCGTTGAGTGAGATCGATAGTGAGATCGATGTGGTGTCCCGAATTGTCCCGTGGTGTCCTATCGTGTCCCGTTGAGTGAGATCGATAGTGAGATGGATAATGAGATCAAAAGGTGTCCCGCGGTGTTCCGCGGTGGCCCGTGGTGTCCCGAGGTGTCCCGTCGAGTGAAATCGATCATGAGATCGATAACGATATCGACAAGTGTTACGTGGTGTCCCGTGGTGTCCCATTGAGTGAGATCGATCGTGAGATCGATTGAGTCAGATGTTGGTTCCCCCCCTCTCCCCCCCCACAACCTCCTTAACACCCGAAGGGTGGTCGTATAGGTATGTCTTCCTCCTCCTCCTCCTCCTCCTCCTCCTCCTCCTCCTCCTCCTCCTCTTCCTCCTCTTGCGCCCCTTGGCTGGCATTTTCCACGGACCAGGCGCGCCGAGTCCGTGACGCTGCCGCTTTGCTGGATCACCTCAGGCATACAAGATTCGGTTTGCCATGAGGAACTACATTCCTGGTATATCATTACAAGATAAACAGCATTCCCATGGGTCGTGGCCCATGGCTGCGATACTGCACAGCGCCCCAGTAACTAAGCAGTCTACCCTCAGTCTACCCTCACCGGCGGCGCGCAGCAAGGGTTTGGATGGGTGGGGGGGGGAGGGCGGCCTTCTGAAAGGCAGAGGCCTCTTAGAAGCCCCCCTGGCTTTCTGAAACACCTCGGGGATCTGCTGACCCGGGTCGATCCAGACCCGGGTCAGTCGGGCCTTGCAGGATCCTGCATCCAAACTCGAGTCAGTGCAGCGCTGGCTCTGCAGGATCCTGCAAGATCGGGCGCCCTGGCTGACCCCCGCTTGCATTGACCCCCGTCTCTTGAGCCCCGAACACCTTCGTGGAAGCCTCCTCCAGTCGCGACCTCCCCCCCCTGCCTTCTTAACCAGGGCGCCCCCTTCGCCCTGCCTCCCACCGACCACGATCCGCTCAAGTCTGGGGCTCCGGGTTGTACGAGCCGCGTCCGGCCGCCGCGAGGAATGCCTCCAGGAGACAATTGAAAACATCCCAAGCTTAGCTGCCCCGATGCTAAGAAGAAGAAGAAGAAGAAGAAACAACGGCATAATCATATGTACACTTTTTTGGCGCTCCGCGCGGATTTCTTGGATCCGCGATGGACCCCCTCCCTGGCGCACAGAGCGCGCCAGGGCGGAGGCGCCGCCGGGGGAGCCCAGGTCGGATCCAAGACATCTGCGCGGAGCGCCGAAGGATATGTTTAGGGCGCTTCTTCTTTTTCTTCGACAAGCTGAGCTGCCCCGATACGCAACACCCAACACGTATCGTGCCGACACGGAGTTCAACACGTAGACTGAAAGCGCAGGTCTGGCGCAGTACGCTCGCCAAAACGTGGGCGAATACGCCGAGCCAACACGCAACGTATTGACACGGACATTTCAAGCACAGGTCGTGTTGCGTTTAAAATCTTGGCGGCGAGCGCGGGGGGGAAATGAGAAGGAGACGGCCCTCTCAGAAGAATGCGTGACTCATCAGAAGCCCTCGCGCCTTCTGAGACATTGTCTGCGTCTTCGGGGAATGCTCAGAAAACTTGTCAAAAGGCCTGGGGACTCCCAAGCCTTCTGAGAGGGCCCGCCCCCCCTCACTTCCCCCCCTCGCTCGCCGCCGAACAACGGGCGTACTGAGGCAGCTAAGATCCCAGGCGACATCGACGACGACGCTGTCGTCGCCGCCGTCGCGCCCGTCACCCCGCCCCCCCGCTCTGCTCTGGAGGTGGGAAAATGGGTGTGGCATATACAAAGGGGTATGGTGCCAATGTTGAGTCTGGCGACGCCATCCATCGTAGACAGCATCTCGATCTCCACGCTTGGCACCACACCCCTCTCTGGCCGTACACCTCTCCGACCTCCAGATCTTCAGCAGGGTCCGACCGTCCCGGCATTCCTATAGTCCTACCACGGAATGTTCTTAGGACCCAACAAAGTTTTAATAACACCAACGATGTTCTCAGAACATCAACCCGATGTGTGAAACCAAGGCAATCTCCACCAGAAATGTTCTCAGAACATTTCGTGGAAGCCACAAACAAGGTTCTTAGAACATTGGGTGGTAAGGCTATAATTAGGCGAGCCAAGACGCCTCGCCACTGCTCGAAGACCTGCGCGCCGCCGCCCTCGGGCGGACCCGGCCGCTGCGCTCGGCCCCCGGACTCTCGGGTCGGGCAAAAGGGGGGGATAGCAAAGGGGGGGGGTTGAGAATCAGCTCACCTATAGCTGATGTTCCCGGCGCCTCCCGGCGCCGGGAGGCGGCCATGTATCGAGGAATGGGCCCCCCGGTGAGGCCGAAACCAGCTGCATGCAGTACATTTCGTACCCCCCCCTTTCCCAATCCCCCCCTTTCGCCCGACCCGACGGACTCGGGCGCCCGCAGCGGGCGCCAAAGCGCGGCGAGGCGCCGCCGGGGGCCGCCCGCCGCGCGCGCCGGAGAGCGTTCTGCGGCGGTCTCCGCAAGGCCTCGGGGAGCGCGTGCGGCATCCCTTCCGGGAGGGCGCCGACGATGCACCAACACCGACCCTGGCCAGGCCGATCCCTGGGCTCAGGATGAGGAGCCAGAAAAAACACACAACGGAATTGCACGCAAAGGGTCTTGGCACCACCAACGGTGCAACGCGTGTGCACACATGCCACTGGATCCCCAGCGATCCGAACCAGGGTTGATGCACGGCCGTGCTCTAGGATGCAGTTGACACGTATGGTGTGGCAAGGCTGTCGGCGGCGACGAGATCCCAAGGCCCTGGATCGGTGTATTGGACCAGAAAACAAACGACACCACCCCACCTGCGGCACCAGGGGCCTTAGCGTATACCAGGAACTCTGGCGTGGGTTTCTGCGTGGCATAGGCTACGGCGCCCGATGGGCCGTAGCGCCGCACGGAGGGCCGTGGGTGGGGTGGTGTCGTTTGGTTTTCGGTCGATGTGTCCGCCTTCTGGCCTTGGTTTTGCCACAGGAATACAGCAGGCATAGGTCGCGAACGCACCGGACGCCAGGGCGCTCTTCACTTGGCAGGGCCGACCTACTGATCAGCCTCGACTGCACTACCTCCCTCGCCGAGGAAGACGGGAGGAGGAGACTTTCGGTCGTTTGGTTTTCGGTCGTTTGGCCTGGGGCAGGATGCCTGCACACCGATCCTGGGCCCAGGCGTCGGCCTGGCCAGGGTCGGTGTGGGTGTGCAGCTGGTGCCCTCCGACCTTCGGGCGCTCTCGCAGGCGTCGCCTGAAGGCTCGTCGGCTCCCGGGGCAGACGCGTCCGGGCCTCCTCGCAGGAGGCTACGCCTCCAGGGCCCGGGCCTCCGCGAGGACGGCCAGGAGCCAGCTGTCCAGCCTCTGCCTGCGGCCCGCAGAGGCAAGAGGCCGGCGGGCTCGCGCCGCGAGGGCGCGGGCCCCGGCTGCCGACGCCGCGCGGATCGTTCCACCTCGGGCGATGGCGACCTGCGACGGCGCGGGTCGGTCGATACCGGCTGCTCCTGGGCCACATGCGGCGTTCAAGCCTCGAGCGCCCGCGCGGGGGTCGTGCACGCGGCGCGAGCCTTCCGGGCACAGACAGCGCTCGTTGCGGAAAAGTGGAGGCGGCCAGTGTTTTCGCAACCCGGCCCCATGGGGGCACGCGTGGGTCCTGGGACCACAGAACACCTACATCTCCCCGGATGCTTGGCCCTGTGAAAACCAGTTTCGTGCGTCGGGCCCATCAGAACAAGTCCCAGGATGGGACATCTGCCCCTGGGGGCCCGCCCAAGGGGCCTAAGGACACACACAAATAAATACACACACAAGTAACAGGATTCCCCTGATTTCCCTACTTTTCCTGGGCTTTCGTCTTCCCCCCACTTCCTATATTTTCCCATCTTTTTGGGAATCGACGATTCATTGTGTCTGTGTGCTCTGTTCCCTCCTGAAGCGAGGCATGGGTGCAGAATATGCCAGCGTCGACGACGAGCCCACCACGCGAAGGAATGCGCCAGGCACCGGGGACCAGAACGGCCTGGCCTGGGACGCGCCCCTGGCGGAGGCAGGCCCGACATCTTGTTTCATGACGTGGACCCCCAGAGGTCTCGGCTCTTTCCCCCGGGAACGGCGGTCCAGCCCGAGTTGTTCGTTACCGCTCGCGGGTGCCAGCGAAGGCCCCCGATGCAAACCCTGGTCTGTTTTGTGCTCGTTTGGGGGTTTGTGTGCTATCCGTTGCGGCACTCCGTAATGCTTGATGTCTCAAGACGCGAAGGGGGGGCAAGGGAGAAGCAAGAGGATGTAGTAATCGTAGAAAGGAGGAGGAAAAGGAGGAGGACAAGGAGGAGGAGGAGGAGAAGCAGGATGATGATGATGATGATGATGATGATGATGATGATGATGATGATGATGATGATGATGATGATGATGATGATGATGATGATGATGACGAGGAGGAGGAGGAGGAGAAGCAGGAGGAGGAGGAGAAGGAGGAGGAGGAGGAGGAGAGGTACATGGATGTCTCTGGAGGCCTCTGGAATACCAGAAACATCAAAGACGCAGCCAACATCGAACCTCGATAGTCGGACATCGGCGAGGAGAAGGACGAGGAGGAGGGGGTGGACACGAATGCGGAGGAGGATGAGGAGGGCTGAGTGCTGAGTGGGGGAGGGAGGAGCGAGGAGGGGGAGAAGGAGGCATCACGAATGAACGAACAGCGTCGGCGGCAAGGACCCACGCAGACGTGAAAGCGAGGCAAGTAAACTCCTCGCCGCCGATGTGACTCCCAGAGAGCCCTCGAAGCCGCCAGCCCAGAACGCAGCCTCCCGAGAGTATCGGGAAACGGGGCCTGCTCTGGCGCCGAGACACGTGGAAGGGCCACGCTCGGGACAGATATTTCGCACCTGCTGAAGTTCTCTCCGACCGCCCCCCCCCCCTTAAGACGAAGCCAAGACGTGGATAAAATCGGGTGGGGATAGATCGAGAAGTTCTGAGACCCGGCGGTTCTGGAGGGTGTCTCGGGCGCCGCGGCCTTCTGAGAGCGTTCTGGAACGCTCTGAGACTGTTCCGGAACGCTCTGGAAATGATCCCCGCCCGACCCCCCCACCCCTCCCGACGACATGGACGACTCCCTCCCCCTGCGATCCCGCAAGAAAGACGGCGCCCTGCCTGGATTACATCGGCCATCTCTCAAAAGCTCCGCCATGCGACCTTTTTCCGACCGCCCCCCCCCCGCCGCGACGACATGGACGACCCCCCCCACCCCCGCGAGCCCTGCAGAAAGACAGCGCCCTGCCTGGATTGCATCGGCCATCTCTCAAAAGCTCCGCCATGCGGACCGAGAGTGCAATCGGACCTAGGCCAGCAGAACGTCCCTCAAGAACACGAGACCCTCCGCCAGCCAAAACGCACAGAACAGCCAAGGGCAGTCCCCGCCCCGCGAATGCACAAGAGCATCCAACAGACACGAAGAACACTAGGGTACCCTCCCCCGAACCGACCTCGATCTGTTACCTCGGTCCGACTGTGCACCGGCCATCTCTAGACTCTGGAGGAGCAGACAACAACATAAACATACTCTTTTGGAGGTCCGCGCAGATTTCTTGGATCTGACCTGGACCCCCCTCCCTGGCGCGCGGAGCCAGGGACGGCGGCGGAGGGGGGGCCAGCGCGGATCTAAGAAATCCGCGCGGAGCGCCATTAGTGTATATGTATGGCGTTTTCCTGCTTTGAGTCTGAACGCCATCAGAAACGCTGTGACATGCGAACTGAGAGCATCACAAGCATGCATCGGCGACTCCAAAGGGTGTGGTTTTCAAAGGGTGTGGTTTGCAACCGGCACCCTGGGCAACACCCTGTGGGGCACCCTGGGGGGCGCGCGGGGACCTCGATAGAGTTCTCCCGCGCCCCGAGGAGGCGAAACGAGGACAGCGTCGTACATCCCAGGCCCCAACGGTGCCGACCGCAAACCACAACCCGGCGTCACCATACCTTTTGTGGTCGCCGAATGCAGCAGCGAGCCGCTCGTGGCGTCCACAACTTTGTGTTTGGTCCACGCTGAGATCCGCTGCACCCCATCCCCCGATTGGACCTTGCGCGATCTTGGGTCTTCGCAAGGATTCCTACAATGCCCGGTTCAATAGGCTCCTGTGGATCTCCCAAAGAGGATCCCTAGGGGTATCGCAATGAAATATGATGGCACCGATTCCGATTGGCAATTTAATGAGCTCCTTTGGGCATCCTAAACGGCACCGTTGACATCCTATCGGTGTTGTTCCAATGGATCCCAGTGGTATTCCAATGGAGTCCTACGGGCACTCCAGGAGGGCCTCCGCGGGCGAGGGCCCCCCCCCTCGCCCGCAGGCCGGCGCGCGCCCCATAGGCCCAGCAGGAGAGAAGGCCGGGAAACGGGCCAGGCGGGCACCCGGCACGGGACGGGGCGAAGAGAGGAGGGCGGTGGGCGGAGGGAGGGGGGGGGCGGGCGGGGGGGGGGGGGGGGGGGGGGGAGGAGGAGCCCTCCTCCCCTCCTGCCCTCCTGCCCTCTCCCCTCCTACCCCTCCTGCCCCTCCTCCCCTCCTATCATCCTCCTCCCCTCCTCCCCTCCTATCCTCCTCCCTCCTCCCTCCTACCCCTCCTGCCCCTCCTCCCCTCCTACCCCTCCCCCCCTCCGCCCTCCGCCCTGCGCCCAGGGACTGCGCGCCCCCTCGGCCCACTGGGCCCGACCGAGCTCGGGCACGAGCGCGGGGCCGAGGAGGAGGAGGAGGAGGAGGAGGAGGAGGAGGAGGAGGAGGAGGAGGAGGAGGAGGCCGTAGGAATTTTGGCTCAAGCCATTTTGGCTCAAGTAATACATCTATCAAGGCAGCTGGCCAGGTCAGCCCTTGAGCACATCCCACAGGTGGCTGCCCAGCCAGGGAGTGTGCAAATCCATTCTTCTCACTTTCCACGAGGCGGATACCTCGTGGCAGCAGTTTGTCCATCACGGCGCCTGCAGGCGTGAGTGTCCGGTTGCCCCGCCCGCAGCCATGCAGCGCTCTGGCACGCCTGTCCGAGCCTCGGCAGGTCAGCGACTGGCGAGCCCAGCGGCTACCAGATGCGAGCAATGTGGATGTGGGCGTAACAAACGCTGGTGGAAGTGGTGCAAGCATTGCAAGGCCCCGCTCCCTCCCACAGATGCTGTTGTCCCTCTGCGTCCTCGTGGGCCTGGTCGCTCTCCTGGACCGCCACTTGATCGAGGCACACAGCAGCGGCGGCCACCATGGGCACGCAAAGATGGACTGCTGGAAAATGCCAACACCAGGGCATCGCCTGGGCCAGGAGCAGCTCGTCGTGTCCCATCGGTATCATTCGCAGATGGCACGCGTCCTTGGCTCAACCTCGCCTCAGCACTTCAGCTTGGACGATTCTGTATGGCCCGACCCCAGGGGTACATCGACAGAGCAGGCACGTTTGGCTGACCTTATCACCCTGCTCCGCTCCAATGGGGATGAGGCCACAGCATCGAAGTACCAAGAGAAGCTGGACAAACTCAACCAGCAACAGGCCATTGAGAACATCAGCGTTGGCCAAGCAAAGCAGAAAATCGAGCAAGCTGAAGCAGCCCTTCGAAGTGCTATCACCAACTGCGAAAAGCTCGAGGAACAGTTCCTTTGCGCACAGGACCAAGTCGGATCGTGCTTGGAGTCAGTGGACTTCGCACGCAGCGTATACAAACAAGCAGTCCAGAAGCTCGCCAAGACGGTGGACCCAAAGGAGCCTGAGTCCACGGACAACTCCTCAGGCCCGCGTCTGGATTTGGCAGCGATTCTGGATGGCAGAACCCTCGACCTCGACGATGGAGGCTTCTTTGGATTGGATGAATTGGGCGAGCTTGTCACCGATGAAGATAAAGAGGAGGCTCAGAAACGTAAAGTGGCCCTCAAAGACAAGTTCCGTGAATTGGCCACTGTCTGCTTTGGGCAGGTCAAGGCGAAAGCTGACGAGCTCAAGCAGGAGCATTCGTTGGCTAAGCAGCGGTTGGCAGCAAAGAAGCGTCGTTGTGAGCAGCAAGAGGACCCCCCGCAAGATGAAGCAGCTGGACAGCATGATCCCGCCAAGCCGGCTATGGTTGCACCTGCTGCGGCGCCGACGGAGGCATCTGAGGACAGCAAGCCAGCTCCTGGTACGCCAGAGGCTGCCACAGCCCCTGTTGGTGATGCTGACTCTTGCAAGAAGACAGGTGTTCGGCCTCCGCGACGTTCGGCTACGCTCGTTAAAGACGCGAAGCTTAAGTTGGCATCTGGCGGGGTGGCCACAGGTGCAACGTCGCCTGGGTAACGCGTACCTTGACAACGACTACGATCAGCATTCGGTTTTGCTTGCTAGTCCGTTGAGTGCAACCTTGGATGCTGT